TCTAAGTTGAATGTTAAGCACGTACACGGCTGAATTGCATAGAAATTCTTGACTCTAGGTCTCCAAGCAAGAGACGCACAAATCCAGCAGCATCAGCTTTCTGACCAGAGAGATAGCGCTCTGTAATCCCATGCATTGATATGCAGCGCAGAGGATCTATCTTGTATGCCCAATCAACCACAGCATAAAAATCATCCTAAAAATCCATGACCCTCCACAAATCAGCACTCGGAGGTTATAATAGTATATAAAATTAAGCAATGAATCACTCAGCAATACCTACTGCTAGTAAGCAATATAATAGCCATAAAAAGGGGTGAAGATGCTGAGAAGCACCAACCAACAACAAGAAAAGTTTAACCATGGCATACATACATTCATTCAAAAAATAAAAAATAAAAAAGTTCACATGCTTATGCAAGGGCATCTCTCTTTGTGTATGTAAGGTGCATGCAAGAATGCATATACACATATAAGGAACGATGCAAAGTATACATTACTTGGATTCCATTAAGCAAATCTTGAAGAGATTCATTAAGTGCTGCCAGATCTGCAGAATTTTTGCCTACAAAATCAAGTAAATTATCGCTGTTTAACTTCTAGAAGTGACAGAGCTTTCATGGCAAACTTCTATACAAATTTGAAGTGGGATGATACAGATCTAAGAGGTGTTACCAGCTTTGCCATCATTCTCATCAATGTCCATAATACCCAAATCGTCATCTTCATCGTCATCAGCATCATTGTAATTCCCACCTTTATTTCCATTAACCACACCTCCTGGGGGAACAAGTGCAGGAACCTCGAAGCACATGAAGTGTGCAAAAAAAGAACTCTGCAGTTTGAATTGCAAAGCATTAATCATTCATGGAAAAGACAACAACATTAATGATTTCCAACATATGTATGCAGATATTGTAACCTCATCTACAAGGAGTGGGATGAATATTGTCAACATTTTTGCATAAGCTTCAGAAACTGAAGATGTATCTGCATTATGTGCACTTTGACTCGAGCCTGTAGAAGCTTCCAGCCAGACAGTTGGATTTCTTGATGCTTTTGTACTAGCACGTAGCTCATTAGCAAATTCACGAGCCTGCATATGAACGAGATAACTGTTAAAAAGGTATATTTGAAATACCATAAATGCAGGGAAAAAAAAAGAATAAACTAAATGAAAATGGCACCACTAAACCCAAATATATTCATAAACAATTTAGTAAAAACTAAATGTTTAGTCAATAAAAAGATGAGGCTTGACCTCCCGGCGAAGAAGCAGGTTAAGGGAGCTACAATATGCTTTCCTCAAAGGACCCAAGCAATTCTTATCGAGACTCTGGCGACAGAAACAGGGAAATGTTAGTAAAGAGCAACTTTGAGAGAGAGAGAACACAAGTAAACTTATGAGATTTATTGCAAAAGGTTTGTCATGAACCTTTAAATGCTGTAGAAGGCGAGCATATGTCCTGCATTTGTACCTTAAGTCAGCATGATCAGGCCTCTTCAACTGTCCACGCTGTTTCATGCAAAGCACACAAGCAAATATTAGAATTCTGAGACCTAATAATAATCTCTGTGATCTGTATAAAAAGATCAGAAAGCTGAAAAATACTTGTGAAAAATAACTCTTGTCGCTTATCATGAAATCCACCAAACTTGCAAAGTAGTTTCTCAAGAACTCAGAAGCTCTCCTGACAAATGTAGTTTTTAATTTTTCAAGTTCTGTCCGCTTTTCTTTAACCTGTAATAATATCATCGACTATTTTAGAAAAAGACAGTACACAAAATGTACTCACATTAACAAATAACTCTGTTATCTAGCTCCATCCTAAAATCTGAATTCAAAAGAATGTCAAAAATTACTACCCACCAGACAAGGGTCCTTCAATTTGTGTTCTTGGGATCATTTTGGAAATCATAAAGCATGGTGCATCACATCATTAACAATAGGAGAGAGAATTGCCATGCATGTGTATTGCGTAATTCAGGATGACTTTTACACAGATGACTAATCAGCAAAAAAAAGCTCATGCATCTAGAAGCATAGCCAATTATTCTCTTACATAATCTTCTAAACAACCTAGTTAATCATTTTGTAAGTAGAAAAAATCAGGGTGAAGAAAGTGGCTCAGAGCATACAGCACACATATTTGCATAGATTGGATCCAAATTAGGCACTTGAAGACCACGTAAAGCACCAGTCAACCACTCACATGCTTCAATGTTTTGAAGCATGCGTTCCTCATCAAACGAACCCCCTGTTAGACAAGCTGCATGCTACAACCAACAGAACATGATTAGAGTAAAGAAAAATTTGAATGTATTGCCACTAAAAGTGATATCGAAGTGATGAACAACATACTTCAGAAGGGACACGCAGTCGTTCAAGAAGCTTATCGAGTTCTTCAATGAGTGATACATTATTTACAGACTGCATCTCCAACTTGTTATTGCGGGTTTCTATCTGGATTCATAAAATGGATAATCATGCAGTAGCAGAGAAAGATGTAAGGCATTGTGTTTGAATATATGCATGGATCCAAAAGATGTGTCTTGCTAGGTAATTTGAGATCTTTTTTGAAGCAGACATATGAAGGTAACGAATCCATTAACATGCAAGTTGAACAATTTCTCCTCATAGCATGCACATTTTCCTAGAAAATTGACATGGTATAATAAAAACAGGGAGGGTAACATAGAAACCCTTGGGCAGACTTTCATGTAAGCATACACTTACCGACTCAATGTCTTCTCTCATATGTCTAAGTTTCACGTTGAAGATGCCTAGCCATTCATCCATGTCATCAACACAATTTGTTGCTGCCTCAAGCCCTTGCAACACCTGAAAGGACAAGCAATCAATTTACAAGAGCAAGAGCTGTCACCCTGACACAGCTCCACAGGCTGTGGCAAAGCACATCACAGACTAATGAAAAAGCTTAATCTTCAAAAAGTCAACCAGGATCAAATTTGACGGAGTATAATACAGACCAAGAGTGAAAGGGAAAAAGACTCTGCAAGAGAGAAACAACAATAAACTCATACACAACATTAAGTCTTTGTGAACATACCTCTTCTACTAAAGGTTCACTTTCTAGAATGGCATGCACATTTGCAGCTTCCAGGGCAAGAAGCTCACGCTTCAACCTTTCTGAAAATGCCTCTGCTTCACCAATACCCATTACATAACTGCATTTCATTGTATAATTGAAATCATCAGGTATATAAAAAAAAAAATTAAAAAACAAAAGGTGACACAAAAGAGTTACTATTGTTTGCCATTATTTCCATTAAGGAGATGTATTTGACACCAGGAAAAAAATCATATTTAGCATAAAAAAAGTAAAAATAAAAAAGCACGAACAGACTTTCACAGAACCTACACATGCTAACCTTGAATAAGAACACTATTTTGGTTGTGTTATGGGATTCAAGAGAATTTTCTTTAAAAAATTTGAGAAGGCACTTGATATCAACATGAACAGAAGTCGTATAAATGCAGGTCATAACCAGTGTGGGCCATTTATTGCACCGTAACGAGCACTTTCTGATGTAAATTAAGTTCTGAGTTTTTAAAACTAAAACATGGAAAATTTTCAAGCAAATGAAACCATGGGGATAGATCCACTCCCCATCTACTGAAACTTTGGAGGGTGAAAGTGCAGACAGTAAATGATGGGTGAGTTAAAGGATGTTTGCTATTTAAGTCAGAAATCAAGGCTCCTCGATAAAAATATTCAAACATCTAGACCAAAAACATGTTCATGTTCCTTTCCATCCGTTTGCTAAAACCTGTCACAGTATAGTGCTTTTTTGTCAAAAATATGTGTCAACTCTCTACCTGACTGAAAAGCTCTGGATTAAAGAAGGAAAGACTTACGTGCCAAGAAGAGCCTCCATGTCCTCTTCCTCAGCTTGAGAGACAAGTTCTCTTTCAACAGACACTTTCAAGTCACTTTCTGTAACTGTAGCTTCAACAGGCCCTCCTCCATCTTGCTGACTCGTTTGCTTGGGAACGGTGGGTGTATTTTCCTTTTTTCAAATATTAAATCAAAAGTAAGTTTGAGAACAAAGGCATGCATCATGATCTAAGATAACCAATCACTTCTAAGTTTGAAAGCATCATGCGCTTCAATTCAATCTCACCAAGTAACATCCAAAATGTGAAATATTGTCGTGCCAATTTGATTATACATTATTGCATTCAGAACATAGTGTCTAGAAAGTTGCTGCGACAGCAAAATAACTAGCAGCACTACTGATTCAACAGGCAAGAAAATCAAAAAGTTCCCTTCGAGTAGGTTAATCATAAACTACAATAGAACACTGTAAAACTTAAAGATGGAGAAGTAACCAATCATCACTCTTAAAACAAATAAATAGAGAGGTAGAAATTCATCATTCACACCTTAGCCCAAAGTGCCATTTCCACAACATCTATGCCAACAATTTTTGGAAGACGTCCAAGCACATCCTTACAGATGTTTAGGATGCAAAATAAAAGGCGGTTCCTTCAACAAAAAAAAAATAAGAAAGAAAATGAAAAATGAAAGCACTAGCCAGTTAGTAAAATAAATTCATAAAAAAATCAGTATTAAACAGACAAAATCTTGAATTGTTTATCCATTACTCATTAAGGGTGTGTTTAGTAATGCGGTGCAGGTATTTTTGTGAAAGTGCTTTTCAACAGAAAAGGCATCTAATTAATGCGTTTTGGGATGCTTTTTTATAGTTTTGACATCCTCGCATCACAATCATCCAAACGCACCCAAAACAGCACTAATTTTTTCAGCCCCAAACTGACTTTGAAAAGCACTTTCAGGGGTGGTGCAACCACACTACCAAACAATCACTAAGAAAAGAAGCAGAAAATGAAGTGGAGTTTCCAACCCCGCTCACCTATCATCAACATTGCGCATAGTCCATTGTGGCGGAGCAACACTCTGGCTTCTAAGGTTATCAAATCCCTGTGAGAAGTTCAGTCAGAAATATAAAAAATCAAAAGTTCCCCGTTCCCCATTTCCTCCCAAAGTCCTTCCTTAATGCAGCAAGTCAGTAAACAACAACCCCATGTAAGGATGCTGAAGCATTACCAGGGTAAACGTGCATCCGCTGGGATCATTAGCTATAACCTCAACTTTCGAAAGATGCTTGAGTTTGTATAGCTTTGCTGGCTGCATAATTAAGTCAAAACACAAGCATGAGACATGTATCTATAACCTTTTGAATCAAAATCAGTAAGATATCACATACAACATTTAAAATAGCTTTCCTTTTTAATATACAAATTAAATTTATTTTCCTTCCCAACCATTTACAGCCCATTATTTCTTTTCCAAAACCACATATTGATCACCTACGCTTCGCTTCGTTCGTAGTGGATAAGACATATAGATAATATTTACTATAATAACAAAAGCAAGAACAGACATATCTCCATAAAAGTAAACATTATTCACCTCGAGGACTCCTCCATTTGAATATTTTAATACTCGAAGAAAGGCTTTCGTCCTCTGACCCTTAGATTTTGCTGCAAAAAAAAATGCTTTCAATTGAAAAGAAATTAATGAATGATGTGAAAATGAGAGAAAGGGAGGTCGGGTTTGGCATACTGGAGAGAGCGAGAACCCTAGGTTTGGCCATGTGACGGCCTAATTTGCCAGATTTGCCCCAGATCCCTTGGCTCTTGGCGACACGGATCGACAATACGATCTTCTGTTTTGTGCCTTCAATTGCTGCTTCGCATGCTCTCCTGAGCTCCTCGTCGTCTGCGCTCGATTTCGCCATTTCTCCTCCTCTTTGATTTTTCTTTCTTTTAGTTGATTAGAAAGAGAGGGGGGGAGAGATCAGCATGCGCGTCAATTTGCGGATGTTGTTTTCTCCCTTTCTTTTCTTCTCTTTCTATTCTCTCTGGTTAATAATTAACTTCGTCTTTAATGATTTGCTTATTCTCTCTCACGGACCCTTTCTCTCCAGTTATGGGTCCCATAACCACGTTTTTGTGGGCATAGTTTTCCCCCGTAGTCTCGAGAACCGTTCCGGATCACTGCTCAGATGGGTTTCCCTGTAAACTTGGTTCAATTTATTTATTTTTATTTTGTATGAAAGAAAAGTAAAAATAACATTATCTTAAAAAAATTAACATTGTATTAAAAAATTAACGTGATATCTAGACCTATGAATCACTACGAATATAATCTCCTCACCATTAAATTTGGAACCCCCTCCACCAAATCCATGTAACTCTAAGTTTATATATCACTACATTTTATAAGAACTATAAACATCAAAAAGTTAAGAACAACTGCTGAATAAAAATAAAAACAAAAATAATAACAATGATTAGAGACAAATAATATAATTATTGAAAAAATTTAAATTACAAAACTATACTAAATGAGTCATTTTATTTATTCATCTACATACTATTTTATTAAATGACTACACATTATTTTATTATGTCCTTTCTAGATAGTAGAATTAGTTAAGCTCTTTTTCTACTTATTTATCAAGGCATAAATCATGTAATGTCTAATATTTTCTTAGCTTATATATAATAGGAATGCTAGAGGAAAAGGCATGGAAAAAAAATTGAATCAACCAATTTTGTCATCTTCTCCATTTTTTTATTCTATTTTAATCTATAATGTTCTATTATGTTTTTCTTTCCTTCTAAATTTCTTAATTTTTTGTCTAAAAATTGTATTGCTTAATCAACTAAAACACTACTTTACTAAAATTTTTTTTGTTAAAGATCATTCCATTAAACTTACAATAAGAGCTATAGGGAGAATATGTAAGAGTTGTAGCAAACCAGGGCTTCAGACATTTTCTTACTTGTTCTTCTAGCAAATAAGGCATTCTCCTTATATATTACCTAACATGCTTTTATTGTTTATTCCAATAAAAAAGACTATATATCCACCTTGTCATAAGTGTAGCTCTGGAATGTCCTCTAACAATCGAGTCATGGTACATTGCCACCAATTTGTTTTGTAAATCCTCATTATTACCCATAACAATCTTGTTTTTCTTGTTGAAGTGATTATCCATCCACTTGTAATATGGGTGTT